ACGTATCTGGAATATATTTGCGAATGGCAAATAGCGATACGTTAGACTGCCGGAGTGCTGACGTCACGAATGTCAAACTGCTTTCCAAACAAGCTTTAGTTCTTTTATATTTCTATTGAGCTCTTCCGAATGACGTCACAAGTTAATATAAAATGTAAAAAACAGGTGATTGCTGACCACCGCCGACTTTTGTGTCTGGTATTTTCAATACGCCTATGATGGTTGCGCATGTTGCAAAATCTGTGAATTTTTTGCATCTGAGTGTATTTCATAATCTTAGAACAGGTTTTTAATTTTTTTTTGTACTTTATGATCATAAAGTATCTAAACTATCTGGTAATCTAAACTATCTGGTAAGTATTAAAAAAGTATCGTTCATCCCTAATTTTACCCTCCTCGGGGATAAATGTTCATAATCGCTTCATATAGTCATTGCTTTACTTAGGAAACCTTTTTTTAAATTATTAATAATAAAATGTCATATTCTTAGAACGAGATTTTTACAAATTTTTATTCAAATTTCCACCACTAATTTCACCTCTTTAGGGAATTTACATAAATCGCTACTCACTTGCGTCGCTTAGCGAACCTTTGTACAAAATAACAAAATCCCAGAACCCAGAACCAAATTTTAAAAAACGTTTGTACCGACTTTTTCCCTCTTAGGAGATGAAATTGGAGGATAATTATAATAATTATATATTTAGTTAAAATATTATATCAGATAGTTAATATATTCTTTTTGGTTCTCATTAAAAAATACATATACGAAATAGTATAAAATCATTTTTTAAAATGTCTTAATATTTTTCAATTATTATTTATCATTAATCTTTGGGTGCAATTTTAGCTTGCCTCCCCGTGGTGCACCCTGGGTAACTCTAAAGAGCTAAAAACAGTTGGCGACCAGTCTATCCTAGTGATCTCCTAGTCATTCAAGCACGCAAGAGCAAGGCAACTATATTTGTAAAGGTCCTTCTCAGGACTTACTGACGAGGAAACTCGGATCTTCAGTCCGCATTTGCCAACTAAATGTAGAAGGAATCAGCAAGACAAAATGCGATTTTCTTTCGAAATTTCTTCTTGACAATAGCATTGATGTCTTATTACTCCAAGAAACCCATACTAAACCTGATGATGAGATCTTAAAAAGGGGAAGAATAAACGGTTTTAAAATATTAAGAGCCACACACATTCAATTTTACGGCACTGCCACATACATTCGAAGGGACATTGAACACGCACATATCATTGCTGCTACAACAGACGACAGCATCCATACTGTCATTATTAAAGTTGAACAAGCAACCATTTTCAATATATTTATATAAACCACCAAATCAGCCGTGGCCTACATACATCCTCCCAGCCTTGAATCATCCAATAATATTTGCGGGAGAGATTCATAGCCATCACCAGCAGTGTAACTATACTGATAATAATGAAAGTGGCATATTGTCTTGGCAGACTGGGCAGAAGTTAACAACCTTCACCCCCCTGATTTTCGATGCCAAAGATAAGGGTACTTTTCGATCTGCTGCCTGGAGAAGAGACTACAATCCAGACCTCTGCTTTGTTACTAATAACCATAACGGCGTTCCATTGCCAGTCGAAAGGAAAGTTGCCGGTGACTTCCCCCACAGCCAACATAGACCAGTGATCCTGAATATGGGTGTATCAATCCCTTTGGTCAGATCCACACCTCGTCCTAGATGGAACTTTAAGAAAGCTAATTGGGACCAATATGTACAAAAATTAAACCAATATATCCGCTTTATACCACCTGAATCAGAAAACTATAATCGTTTCATCGGGGCCGTAATTTCAGCAGCGAATAAATACATTCCTAGGAGGTGTAGAAAAGAGTACATACCGGGCTGGAACGAACACAGTGAACATCTATACGAGTAATTCAAAGAAAGCGGAGATCAAGAAGTTGCAGATAACCTCCTCCATAGTCTAGACACTGCTAGAAGAGACCGCTGGATTGAAACAGTGGAAAACACAGACTTATCGATCTAGTAGGAAGGCCTGGACCCTTCTACGTAGTTTAGGGGGTTCAACAAGACAAAATAGGCCAAGCTCTCGAATATCATCAGCTAATCAAATTACAAATTATATAGCTGAGACATCTACGTCTCGACGTGATAAAGAGCACACAATTGAGATTAAGCGGAAATTGAAGGAGTTAAGTCTCGAGAACAACCACTCCCCATATCTCGGAATACTCATAGCCCTTCGAAATTGAAGACATAGTCACAGCTATTAAAGACATCAAGCCGAACAAAGCTCCTGATATGACAACATTCATCCAGAATTCCTTATTTACGCTGGAAAAACTGCCCTCAAGTGGTTTTGTAGTTTCTTCTCGAGAATTTTATCAACAGACAACGTTCCAAAAGAATTAAAGAAAACTAAAATAATAACTGTGTTAAAACCAGGAAAATCTAAAGATCAACCTCAGAATTATCGACCCATAGCCCTTCTTAGTTATACCTATAAGCTCCAGAAACGACTTATTTTCAATAGAATAAAGGATAGTATTTTAGACCATATTCCAGTTGAACAGGCAGGTTTTATTCCTAAACGCAGTTGCTGTGACCAAGTTCGAGCACTTACATCTCACATTGAAGGAAATTTCCAACTTAAGCTTAAAACCTCCATAGCTTTTGTCCATGTTACCAACAACATGCTAACTAACCGATATATCCAAGTATTTCAGGGAGAGAGCACAAGTAAACCTAAAAAACTTAACAGCGGCTTACCCCAAGGCTCCGTTCTCGCCCCTCTCTTATTCAACTTATACATCTCTGACCTACCAGATACGCAATCTAGAAAATTTTGTTACGCAGACGATATAGCCATATATAGCAACTGAACATGAATCGCTAGGGATCTCGTCCTTGAATGCCTATTTTATAAAATGGAGACTTCTACCCAGTGCAAATAAAACAGAAGTGGCTACCTTCCATCTTTAATAACAAGCTGGCAAATACTGAAATAAGCGTCCAGTTTGGTAACACCACTCTACGTAATAACAAATATCCAAAATATCTGGGGATTACTCTAGACCGTACACTCTCATTTCGAAAACACCTAGAAAATGTTGCTGGAAAAATCAGAAAACGAAACAACATTATACAAAAACTTTGTGGAACTTCTTGGGGTGCAAAAGCAACAACGCTTCGGATCTCCGCCCTTGGTCTGATATTCAGTGTAGCACGCATTATTGTGATTGTGCACCCGTGTCGTTGAACAGCCACCACACAAATCTCGTACACAGACAAGCTGAACAACACCATGCGGCAGGTTACAGGGACAATTAGATCCACAATTTGTTACTGGCTTCCAGTTATGAGTAACATCCTACCTCCAAATCTACGCAAAAACGAGTTTGCTAACTTATCTTAGAAAATTTGATAAAATAATAGCTACCCTAAAGCTACCTGTTCATGAAACACTTCCTGCTTTTCAGGTGAATAGACTGAAGTCGAAATCCACCTTTGCGAACAGCTGAACAACTAAAAAGCAGTAACTACAATTCTCGAGAACAGTGGCTTCAGTTATGGAGAGAAATGACCGATGCGCACCTATACTTCTGGTTCAAAAATAACTATTGCCAGATACCGGGTACCGATCTAAACCGGAAAACATGGTCAACTTTGAATAGGATAAATAGGCTAATAGGATAATTTGAATAGGATACATAGGCTCTGGCCATGGAAGATGTGCGGATTTCCTCACCAAACCATCCATCACATAACTAGAGAGTGCAACCTACGCGCTTATGGTGAAGACTGGAGGGACTTTCCGGAGGCTTCTCCAGCAGTTTTGGAATGAATAGGGCATCTAGATGTTAATATTTAGTGTTCGTAAATACCTATTTTATGTTGTCTTTTTATCATATACTTGTTTTTTTCTATATTTACAATGTAATGTTTTCATTTACATTGTAGTTTATTTTCTCTATTATGTCTATGTTTAAGAGTCCTGGTTTTCTTGCATGTATGTGAGCCATACAATAAATAAATAAATTAATTAATCATTATATGTAAATGAATATAAAATTGAAAGAAAATCTAATGAAATTAAAATCATCTCTATTTGATTCCGAAATATAAAATTCCCTCTTTAATTTCTTCACAATGGTTTTATGCTTTGGTTTTATGGCTTCTTAGTAAACGAACGGAGGTGATTTTGCTGGTCCGCTGTTAAAATTCGCCCATATGATAAAATGGATAAATCTAACTGAAAAATTAGCCCAGCGCATTCGCCAAAATGTAATTTTTACATTTGCATTGGTTATCGCATCTATATAGTTTGTCTCTGGTTTAACTTAAATTTTCTGATTATAATTACAGAATACAGAACTTTTCTGTTACAATACGTTATCAAAAATTTAAAAAAACGTGTGTAATTTATTATGTAGTATAAATTATAATTCATTACACTCTTCTCTCTTTTTTTTCTCTATAATATACTGTAACCAGGATTACTATAATAATTCTAATAACTGTAACCAGGATTGGAGGTGTTTCAATCCAGGTTACAGTAAACAGACTATGCACTAAACTTATTTTTCCTTCGACGCACTAAACATTGCAGAAATAATTTTGGTCCATTTTAATATCAAACAAGATTACAAAAATATTAATATTGACTATAAAAAAATATTGTTGCAATATCACCATATTCAAAGAAAATTAGATTGCAAAGTTGCTTAAATATTTCAAGTGTATTTAAAAGATATTTTTTATAAAGATGCATTTTTTCAACATTTGAGGATAATCAGATGTACTATAACAGAATATAATACGTATTTATAAAATATTTTTTAGGGTAGATTTTTCTTGGCTCTTATTTATTTTTTGGCTTTTATTATTTTACAATATTATAATCTGTTTAATTTATGATGTCAAATTATGTAACTATATATTTTTTTAATTTTTAATCTATAAAATCTAGCCAATAAATCTAAAATAAAATTGCATTTAATATTATTTTTATATTTTATTAGAAATGCATTGTCAATATATTATATAAAATGGGTACAAAAGCGAAATAGATAAATTATATAAAAGTATTAAATATTAAAGCTCTATTTTTACGTCAGTTAATTTAATTTTTTTAAACTATATTAAATAACTTTTTTCCTTGCATAGGGTATATAAAAATGTATTAAGTTATGTTAGACTAAGCTGGCAATTCAGTCATCAACATTCAAATTGGTCAGACCAGTGGTCAAGGCTCCCCCTTTACCAGTCCATTCTTCTTTTAGCTTGACCTTGCAGCCCAAGTCGCGTAATGCAGCTTTAATGTCGTATTCAATGTTCTTAAAAGACTTTAAAGCTTTTTGCAGTACCTCTTCAGCACCTAAATCCAGAAAAGTCTTGCATTGGTACTTGCTTCTTGATACCATGTTTCTTATTGCCCAACTTCCAGTTTTCTACAATACAAAAATATTCTAATCTCTTGAACAATCAAAATCAGTATTATAACAGTTAAAATCGTACTTGAACTTCTTTTTGATCAGCATGCTGTTTCATTATGTTTATAATAACTTGTGTAATTCCATGGTCAAATAAAGCTTTACTATTTTCTGGACTTCTTAACGTTAGGGCTGCTACACATGACAAGCCAGCTGTTACTGTAGTAGCACAATACTGTAAAAAATAATAGATTTATTGTAGATGACAAGGTTCTGCTATAAATACCAAGCATTAAGTTTAAAAGATCAATATTTAATTACTTACAGTTGTTGGTGTCAGACTTTGAATAATCACAGGAACAAAACCATGCTGAACTATATGAACTTTACATTCATCATTACCAGCTAAAGATTTAAGTAGTTTAAAGCACTGCCTGACAATTTTCTAAAAACACATACTACAAATATATTGTTTAAACAATTAAAAATATTGAATACTGTACCTCATTATGACTATATGTATGCATAACCGATTTAATCAATTCTAGACCATTGGCATCCTCAACTTTCTTACAAAACTCTGTTCTAACCATCAAAGAAGTTAGAGTTAACAGTATATCAAAATTTAACAGTTCCTCACCTCTAAACTCTTAAAAAATAATATAATTCAATATTCTATAAAACATACACAGTTTGAACTTATGCAAATTAAAGTAATAGGAAATGTTCACTAAATATCTACTTATAATAAAATTATATAAAAATTCTTGCCACTTAACTGCTAATATAGAAATTTAATTCTACGCTGTGTTTGTCATAATGCGGACCAACCTGCTCTCACTACCGGTTTCGGAGCCCTACTCCATCATCAGGTGAGCTTGGGAGATCCACAAAATGACAACCACAGCGCAGAGATAATTAATTCCGACCTGTCGGAAAGTATCAGTTAGATATTAAGTCCCGAACGGGAGATAGCGGCCTGCGTGCAATGGTAGTACTTTCGTACCACCGAGGCGCAACTATCGATAGTAAAAGGATGGTAAAAGGCTTTTTATCAGGCAAGCCAAATTATAAAATAGAAAACAAATTTCTTGCAGTAGAGGTATATAATAAAATTATATAAAAATTCTTGCCACTTAACTGCTAATATAGAAATTTAATTCTACGCTGTGTTTGTCATAATGCGGATCAACCTGCTCTCACTACCGGTTTCGGAGCCCTACTCCATCATCAGGTGAGCTTGGGAGATCCACAAAATGACAACCACAGCGCAGAGATAATTAATTCCGACTTGTCGGAAAGTATCGGTTAGATATTAAGTCCCGAACGGGAGATAGCGGCCTGCGTGCAATGGTAGTACTTTCGTACCACGGAGGCGCAACTATCGATAGTAAAAGGATGGTAAAAGGCTTTTTTTCAAGCATTAAGTTGTGGATCTCCCAAGCTCACCTGATGATGGGTAGGGCTCCGAAACCGGTAGTGAGAGCAGGTTGATCCACATTATGACAAACACAGCGTAGAATTAAATTTCTATATTAGCAGTTAAGTGGCAAAAATTTTTATATAATTTTATTACATACCTTTACTGCAAGAAATTTGTTTTCTATTTTATAATTTGGCTTGCCTGAAAAAAGCCTTTTACCATCCTTTTACTATCGATATTGCGCCTCGGTGGTACGAAAGCCGATACATTGAACGCCATCCCGATCCGACAAGTCGGGAATAACTCTCTGCGCTGTGATTGTCATTTGTGGATCTCCCAAGCTCTGACCTGATGGGAGTAGGGCTCGAAACCGGTAGTGAGCAGATTGATCCGCATTATGACAAACACGCGTATTAAGACAAACACAGCGGTAAGTAATTAATTTTTTCTATTTTAATACGTTTAGGACAAGAAATTTGTTTTCTATTTTTAATTCGGCTTGGCTGAAAAAAGCCCCTTTTACCATTCCTGGTACTATAAGTTGCGCCTCGGCACTCGAAAGTACTACCATTGCGCAGGCCGCTATCTCCCGTTCGGACAAGAGCTTGGGAGATCCACAAAATGACAACCACAGCGCAGAGATAGTTAATTCCGACTTGTCGGAAAGTATCGGTTAGATATTAAGTCCCGAACGGAAGATAGCGGCCTGCGTGCAATGGTAGTACTTTCGTACCACCGAGGCGCAACTATCGATAGTAAAAGGATGGTAAAAGGCTTTTTTGCAGTTTGCAGTTAAGTGGCAAGAATTTTTAGATAATTTTATTATATACCTTTACTGCAAGAAATTTGTTTTCTATTCTACTTATAATGTACCTCTACTTGTAATGTGTGATCGAAAAAAAAATGGCATCCATTTCACTGGGAAATGACAATGAATGACATTTCCCATATAAAATGACAGCAATCTTCATTTAATAGCCATAGCTGACGCCGTTTTATTTTACCATACAGTACTTATATGTACTTACTGCTTAATAAATCCATAAGAGAACAAAGAGTTTCACTAGCAATAACTCTAGCATGTTCATGTGCTCTACCAAACTCAACTCTTACATCATCATCTAATACCAATGCTCTGCACACTGACAAAGCTTCCCTAATCAATTCCGTGGGAACATGCTCCTTCAAATATTCTTTAAGAATATCCAAAATATGGGCATCATAAATAAGCTGCCTAAGAACAATAGTTATTTAGAAAACTAATATTCTAGCAAACAGATTTTCAATCACCTATTTTTCTCATGCATCACACAACATTCCTTAGTCCATCTGAAAAGAAGTCTTACAATCTCATAGTCCAGCTGCTTGTCTTTTAGACTGTTTATGATGAAAGCAACACCTCTATCATCTAACAAGTCAGGTTGTTTGGTCATCAAGGCTGTCAATGTTCTTAAAGTATTTGCTTCTACACTTTTATCAGTGTTATTTTCACAGATATTCAAAAGTATATTATAAGCTCCAATTTTCCCTGAAATAATTAGATATTAAAAAGTTATATATTTAAAATAAAAAATACCCACCTGCTTCAACTTTATGCTGAAGTCCTTTCTCACATTCTAATCTTAAAGTTGTTAATGTTTCATTTAAAGCATCCGAAGCCTTTTTAGAATTCTGTAACTCTTCTAATTTCCTAACAGATTCGCTGATTTCGTTAAACTCCGCTTTAGACATTGATTCTTTTATTATTTTACTCAAATCAACACCCTAAAAATTATGCAGGGTAATGATAATGTATGACACAAAAAATTTTGTTCAAATGACAAAAGAAAGTAATTTAGTAGTAGGTATTAATGAAATTAAACAATACTTACCTGCGATTCAAACTGCTTAACGGCCTCTTCCACTGCTTCTTCTTCAGTGAGCCCCAGAATTTCAACATTTTCTTTTACAGCACTATTAAAAGTGTCTTGGGTAATTTCCAACACCATATTTGGAAAAAAATTATCAAATCAACCCGTTTCTTCGCCTGGCCCTATTCAAAGTTTAAAAAAAAACTTGTAACTTAACAGTACAATAAAGTTCTGTTGTTTCTTTGATGAAAATTATAAAATAGAATATAAACTAAAAATCACAAAGCAACATAAAACATAAAAACATAACCCAAAAACTGACAACTAGTGACAACTGACCAGCTGATGAGCAGAGCGTCTTCTGACACTTGACAGTTCTGTTTTATGCTTCTGACAGCAAGACGGAGTGATCAGAGTTGCCAACTCTTGAAGATGAATACATGATGAATATAAAAACAGCAAGAATCCGCTAAGGCCACGGGGGTGTCACTTGTATGGGAAAACAGGCAACAGTCAAATTTAAACGTGCCAGGACCAACGACAAAGAAAGCAACATCTGCCAGGAATTGGCTTTCTTTGTCACTCACATTGCTTAAATCATGATACCGCGGCCCAGTGTTGCCAGATATACCATTTAAATGGTATCTATACCATTTTTTCTTCCTTGATACCTGCAAAAATTTTGAGTATACCATTTTCCATTTTTCTACCATTTTTTGAAGACGTTACCATTTTTCTACCATTTTTTTAGAATCCCAGCGATCTACATTTTTTAAACTTTTTAATGCAAACCAATCTAGTTTTCCACATCTACTAAAAATATGAAGCACATCTCTATTAGGCTATCTCATATCTCTATTATTTTTTATAGGTATTATTTCTTGAAAAGTTTTACCTATTTTATTCTAAGTCTATGGTTTTACCTATATTTTCAGAGCCAAATATGTAGATTATTAATGCTGAATTATTAATAATATATTTTATGTTACCTATCTATTTAAAATGTTCCTATTACCTTATTATTATATTAGGTCTGTTCATTTTCCTGTTATTATCGATTCTGAATCGTCCAAGAACTCTCCAGCGCATGCGCAAATGAAATAATGTCTTCATATTTCCTTCTGCGCATACGCATCACAATTCTAGGACGGTTCAGAATCGGTAATAACAGGAAAACGAAAAACGCTATTAATTATACCTATTTCTTTTATTATTATTTTGCATAAATAAAATGTTAAAAAAAATTTAAATGCCTTGCGCAAGAGTTCAAAACTGATGTGACAACCAACAGCTACGATGTTTTCAACCAAATTGAGGTTCGTTTGGTTTGGGGTTAATCCACGGTTAATCATAGTATCAAAATTATAAAAATATTAAGATCCTCTTTAAAAGTAAAAATACCATTTTTTTTCAGTCAAATACCATTTTTTTAAATACTCGATACCACTTTTTATTTTTTCCATCTGGCAACACTGCCGCGGCCATTTTGCCAACAAAGAAGCTGGCCGGGCTGTCCTGGCAAGTGATTTAAAACAATTTTGCTTTTTTACAATATTAAATTACCATTTGGATGTATTTAATGCGATTATTCAGTTAACTGGTAAGTCAGAAATTACACACAAATACTTTATTCCTAAATACAACTAAGATGTAAACGTAGTTTTGTATTTTTAGATTTCAACTTTTGCAAAGACCCGCCGATAGAACTTGCCTGGCAGCGTACCTGTTTAACTAAACGTATTATTTCCTGATAATAATATCAAAACACGTAAGTACCTCTATAATTTATGATGACAAATGATTTTGATTATGTTTTATGTTATTTAAATACTTTCTAACCTCAAATAATAGTAAGATCCTTGTTTATATCGCACAGCCCGTTCAAAACTGTATTGTCTTCAAAAAATGTTTACAAAACAAACAATCATTACAAAAACAATGTCCTTTTAATCTGATTTATACCTCAGAAGGATGCCAGTAAAATTTTATTAAATCAACATTATATTATTTGGCCATTAATATGCAAAAAGGAGCATAATGCCTTAACTTAAATTTTCTTTTACTTCTGACAATGTTCTCTATATTCTCTATTTTGAGTTAGTAAACTTTTGAACAAGATGTGCGATATATAAAATACATAATATATCCAAGGGTATGATCTGATAAAAGTATTTTTTGATGCATTTTTTGGTTTTTTATGCACATTGGCTTGGTTTATGTTTTATTCAGCTTATATTTATTTGGTATAACAGCTTTTTTTTGCCTTTGGAATGGCGTGCATTGAGGCTAGATAGTGTTTCATTAGATCATTAAAGGAATTTAAATTAGCATATATTTTTTGTGATATTAGTGTATTATCATGATACAGGTAGTTGTATCATAGTGCCTTATGCATGTTATTTACCTATTATATACTTATGTATTATCAGTAAATAGATAATAATATACTACTAAAATGTCTTTTTAATAGTATGTTTATCTTTCCAATTCACTAGTTATTTGCAAAATGTATTTTGAACTAATTTAAGTCATTAATTGATCATCTTTCTTTTTCAGGTTCCGGGATATTGTTTTTCATTGTTAAAAATATATATATATATATGTATTTCAATATTATTGTAATATAAATCGCAGCTCTAAAAAATAAATGATATTGTTTACTAATGTGTAATTTATTTACTATGAATTTTCTCTGAAAATAATAAGCCTTTAATAATATCATTGATTTGCTGTGTAAAGTTAATAGACATATTTTTTAATACATTAAATTTATTAAAGTAATAAAAAATATGTTTATTAACTTTAAACAGTAAGTCAGTGATACTTACAATTTTTTTTTAAATTTCCCTCTTTTAAGCCCCGCCCTCAATTCCCCTCAATTTAGCTAGTACTGCCAGGCGACACCAGGTGGCGTCTGTTTCCATTTTTTAACATGAAGTTAGCATTTCTTTAATGTACCTATTCTCTGGCTAAGGCGATATTGAAACTGAAATTTTGCTTTGTCAGAAATGTTAGAGAACAACGGCATACGGTCGAGTCGGCCGCTGCTGGCACGTAGACGTAAAGAATCTTTTATGTGTATAAAAAATAAAAATATAAGAAATGCGCATGCGTACGTAAACGTACGTGTTTGTAGGCCGACTCGACCGTATTCTCTGTTATCGCCTATTTTTCAACCTTTTGGTAGGGCTATCATCACGTGACGAGACTGATTTAACGCGATTTCGAAGATTCTACGTAAACATACAGGCGATTCTAGGGATTCTAGGCATCACGAATCACGACATCACGACCTCCACACAAGGCTATTCAACCTTTTCCAATATGGCGGAGCTAGAAGTGCTTTATTGGGCGCGTATTTTAAAACCTGTTTTATTTTATTTCCAAATAGACATTTTTTACACAAATGTCGGGTTAGATTAAGTAATATTTCACTATTTTTTTAATATACAGGGAGTCTAAAGTTCTCCACATAAATATGGATTTTTTTGTATTATTACTTTTATGAAAACATCAGTTAGTTACTTTTTATAAATAGGTCTGCTCTCTCAGAAAATCAGTTAGGTTAATTCAAACTTGAGGTAGCATATATAGGGTGTTCAAAATCATCGGAAAAAAATAACCAGAAATATATGACAGAAAATACCAATATAAAAAATAAACTAAATATTCAATTGCAAACGCTTACCTACGATAGTTTAGAATTTACTGAACGTTTGATAAATATATACTATTATGGACAGTATAGGAATTTACTTGTCTTAGTAAAATCCTTGGTAAATGCTCTTGGAATTATAAACTACACTGGCTTGGATAAAAAAATATGGAATATTTTTTCTATGTTTTGCGGCATTACACAAATGCGAATAAATTTGAACTATAATGGGCGAGGATAACTAAAAAATATAATATATGTTTCAAGATTTTATATAGAAAAAAAAACCTTTTTGGGGGTTCGTAAGTAAAACTTACGCTTAGTTCAAGGTTATTAAAAGGTAAGGTTGTCTCGTAACTTTTGGACCAATAGAAGCGAAGCGGAATAGCATCCCTCTGACGTAGATTGAACGTATAAAATCATAGATAAAAGGAATAGAAAATAAAATGCATCCGACAAAGAGAGATAAATGGACAATACAATAAAGAAAACACACATCAAACAACCGAAAACTATTGACGCCATACACTATAAACAATAAAGTACACAATGAATATCGATTCGGAAATGCACTGTCGGATTGTGAGCAGTTTTTATCCCTTTATCCATGAGCGGTATCATTCCTATGACGTAATAGGATGACGTTTTCAATAATGGCGGATCCAGAGGGCGGATCGAGTTACGAGACAACCTTACCCAGAGACCTTACCTTTTAATAACCATGCGCTTAGCTTAGTTTTCTTTACTCTTTCTCTTTACATAGGGCATTGTCTTTGTGGTAAAAACGTCATTCCTTTTTTTGCATAGTTCTTCAATAAAATATTGGATATTCTGAACAAGATGGATTGAACCTTGATTGAACAATAAATTCTGACGAATGTGAGGGGCAATTGTGACCTACAGTGATCTAAAAAAAGACACATCCAGGCCCAGGCCATTTATATTTTCAAATGTCAATGTTGTCAATACCTTTGTGTGATCCTTTTTATGTAAAAAGCTTCATTCTTCTTCCAATATTTTACTTATAGTGAGGTAAGTGTAAGTGTAAGCAGTAGCCATAACTACATCCTCACTAGGGTAACAGAGGCTTTGAGACCATTGGCTTTTTTGAGGCATATTTAATGCACTTCTTACCCGAGAACTACTAGTAGGAGTAGGAGTGAAATTATCCCTTTTAATAGCTGTCAACCATTTTTTACGAAGCTCGTCATTTTTGGGGAATATAAAACCAGAAACCCTTCCTATTCTTTATAATTGAGAGCAGAGCTTGTAAAAGGCTTAATCTTTTGATTATTGTAAGTAACCATTATAAAGTAGGTACTATAAAGACTGGCGATGAAGGTTTTTTATTTCGGTGTAATATCTTGATAAATACTTCCAGTTCTTACCTTAAAATAATTAATAATACAGGAGTACGACAACCCCAAAGTTTGAAGTTCCCTATGTGGAATGTCTGGTTTGGATTTTTATTACACTCTTATTTTATCACAATTTTTTCATCACACCATGCACTGAACACTAAGAACTAAACAAACGTGTTGCAGAAGCACAACACACTATAATTAATTATTTCTGGTATGCAATCGGAAGGAGAAACCACTATCGGCTTTTCAGGTTAAAGGTATAATAAACAATTTAATAATGCGCTGCCTTCGCCGCCATATTTGCCTTGCCCATATCATGTTGAATAGCCTTGATTCCAGGTGGTGATGTTCTAGACCTTAAAATGACCTTTAACTAGGTCTAGGTTCTTTTAGCGAGTTGGCAACCCTGATTATTGACACGACCACCACGACCACCACAACCACAACCTTTACCACAACCAATATTTTTTTCCATATTGAGATGATTCAAATTTGATATATTTTTTTAATTAATTAAAGATATATAAAACTCAAAATATCGTCTCTCAATTACTTTAATAAAGTACAAGTAAGATCGTCAGATGTGTATCAATAAACACAGATTATAATTTAGGTACACTTTTTTGTAGGTCATTTATACAATACAGTTTATATTTAATTATTGTTCCTGTGCTATAAGTATTTGTAAAAAAATGGCACAGTGGATAGGCTTTATGGTATCAATAAAATGCGTAGATGACTTAGGAACTTATCAGGGAGAGATCTCAGAAGCAGACCCATTTAAAATTACCCTGACAAAAGCTTTTTGTAATGGGTTTCCCTGTGATGGACAAGTCTTAATTAAGTAAGTCATACTTTTTCGATTACAAATTGAATGTTTCATTTCTTTTTCTAACAGTGCTAGTGACATTGTGGACCTAAAATTAATTGAAAAACAAATAGATGAACCTCAAGAAAACAGTACTGTAACAGTAGCCAAACCAGTTGCAAAAAGAGCTCACAGATCATATAGCACATCAGATTCAGTTCCTAAGCAAGGACAAATAGGAGTTTATGGAAAAAGCAAACCTATTGACATAGATTTAAGTAAAAAAATGGACGAGAGTTTGTCTTTGTCATTTAAGAATAACACACCTAATAAAAGAAGTCTGAAAGGTTTGTAAATGTTGATAAAAATTGCTTAATAGGTAGTATTTACTATTTATGAAGATATTTTGATTTTAGGTGGAAAATGGATGAAAGGTTGGAAAGATGAGGAATGCTTTGGATCTCCAGTGGGTAGTCAAATAAAAGAAGATTTTGACTTTGAAAAAAATCTAGCTCTGTTTGATAAACAAGCTATCTGGGATGAGCTTAATGCCCAAAAACCTGATGTAATTCGACAAGCAGATAGCAAAAAGGTTGCCAAATACAGGTAGTTTTATACAAAACCTATAAAAACAAAAATTGTAACACTGATGATTTTAGACATGACGAAAATATTATAGCAAGTCAGCCTACTTCATTCCGTCAAATTGTTGTACCTAAGCAAGATTTTTGCGAGTACGTTACTGATGATGGCCTTATTATTCCCTGTATCTCGAGGTCCCTGAAGAAGAAGTTGTTTGAAGCTGCAGGAAAGGCAGGACTTACTTTTGAGAGACAAATAGAACTATTTGGTAGTGCCGCAGCTGAGATTTCAATTCACTTAATTGGAGGGAGTCATAGATTAAATCCCTCAAATTCTCATCAGCTGCCCACAGTGGTGGTACTATGTGGGCCCCACCAGTATGTATTTTTGTGCATTTTAGTACACATTTTAGGATTACTTGCAATTTAATTTATCTATATCTACAGAGTGATTCAAATATATTTTTACATTAAAATCTAGTGTAGAGATATAGCACCCTGTATATTTTTTCTCAAAATCGTAAAAAAATTAGTAAATCCTAAAAAATTAGAGTGAATGCTCTCAATATTTTAAAATAAAATTTAGAGGTTTTTGTTCTTAGCTTCTAAATTCTTAAGAACATGTATGATTGAATTTAATCAAACATAGAGAAGGAAAATCATCAAGAACTTTTTGATTTCTTTGACAGAATATTTAAATTTTGAACTATGAAGTTTCTATAAAAAATGAGGTTTAAATTTTGATTTTATTTAAATTTTTTATAGACAAGGGGCGGCAGGTGCGAACGCAGCACGTCAGCTGACGTCACACGGAGTTCGTACAGTGCTTTACTATGTGTCTTCAGAGGCGACATCTATACGAAAAGAACTGGCATTGTATTCTATGACGCGAAATCGGACAGTAACGAACATCGCCGATCTTCCGCAGGCCGTCGATTTGATAATATGCGCCCTCTGTGAAGATACAGAAACACCAATGAGCTACCCATTGCTGGCCGAATGGATCAATAAAAATAAGGCCCCTGTGTTGGCGTTAGATCCGCCATCGTGCGGAATTCCTGGTAAATAGTTTAGATAACCTTGGATTATATCTATAAAACCATTTAAAATACTCCAGCAATTAAGGTGGCTTGTAGAACAAAATCACCTTTGACTAAATTTTTGTAGTTAGTTGGCCATTGTGGTTCAGATTAACATACTAAAAGTCCTCACCCCTCCGACAGTGCAAACCTCCCCTAAAGTACAATTTTATAGTTTTTATTTCATTTAAAAATTTCTAGTTTGATTAGTTAACTAGCAATTTTTTGCTAAAGTTGGCCGTGTTTGGGACATTTAACAAAAACTAAAAAATTGTACCTTTAGGGGTGGTTTGCACGGTCTGTACTTTGCCACCTGATCAGCATACTCATGTCTTTTAAATAGAGAAATAAAAAAGGTTGAGGAACTAGAAACCCTAGTCTGTGCCCTAGTATTGACATAAATAAAGATATTCTCATTAGTTTATTTAACGGTGTTTTTCGTGAAAAAGGAGCTTTATATACGCGCGAATTGCGGAATAAGACTCGCGAGTTTCGCAAAATAATTCCGTCTTTTATTTACGTAGTTCATATAACAACGAAATTCGCAATGAATTCTAGGGATATTTTTGTTTTTAAACACATGTTGAAAATGTCACCTGATTAAAGAGTTTTATTTAGGGCCGGTTCTACAAAGCAAGTATATACCAGGTATAGGTAACCAATATGTGGTCTGAACTGTATTCCGGAATCTTCGTCAATATATTCTGCAGATAAAAATAAGTAAAAAAGTTTATATAAATGTATGTCGTAAAATTCTTTCGGAGATACAGGGTCTAGAAGTTTCATTTTTATTTCAATTTTTTCCAAATAATTTCTGAAGTAACGTCAATATTTGGATGAAAATTGGTGTATGGGAGTTTTTTGACATGAGAAATTTGATTTTGATGTCAATATGACATCCATTTTGTAAGTGGCGCCACCTACATGTGTTTTAACTCTTTTGTAGAGTAATAACTTTTTGTCCGTACCTGTATAAAAGTACTGAGTGAAAAATTATACATTTCCGTGACTTTTTACGTAGAAAATGTCTCTTGGTAAAAATCGCTACTAGTACCCGTTCTCAAGATATATTTAGAATAGAAATAGTCAATACATGTCATTATTGACAAAAAATAAACAAGTTGAGTAGGTAGTTATTTGACTGAAATAATAAATTCGGGCAATTTTTTTTTAATTAATCCTAAATTTTTCTGCGCAAAAATAACGATAAAACAGTTTCTGTTGACCTTTTGGCACAAAAGCATTTCAAATTTATGATTTCAGTCTAATAACTATTTAGTCGAAACATGTTTAATTTATGTCAGTGATGACAGGTATTGATAATTTCGATTCCAAATATCTCGAGAACCATTACTCGTAGAGATTTTTCCCAAGAGACCTTTTTTACATAAAAAATGTCGTAAATGTATATTTTTTACTCAGTAGTTTTATACAGGTACGGACGAAAAGTTATTATTCTTCAAACCAGTTAAAAAATATGTAGGTGGCGCCCTCTAGAGTCATGGTGACATATTGACATCAAATGTCAAATTTCTCAAATTTTTATCCAAATATTTACATAACTTAAATTATTACAGAGATTTTATCCAAATATTTACGAAACTTCTACACCCTGTATCTTCGAATCTAAGCATTTTAGGACATATATTTATACGAACTTTTTTACTTATTTTTATCTGCAGAATATGCTGCTGAAGTTTCCGGAATACAGTTCGGGCCATCTTGTATATTGGAAAAATTGGCCCTTATAGGTTTATTTGTATAAGTATATTTTTGTGTAATTGATGAATCCTCTTATTTTTGGAGTAGAAGACGATCTGTTGCTGTTTATTTATTAATAAAAAAAACAACAAAAGTAAAATACATAAAACAATGGAACATGTGAAATATTTAAAAAATGTTAAAAATGAGAATTAACGATGAAAAAACATTTAGAAACTACTACAGGATATCTATAAAGGATTTTGATTCTCGATGGTTTTGAAAAATTTCCAACAATATTACTAGTTTGCAGTGAAAACATTGAACTTCGTACTACAAATTTAAAAAAAATTAAATTTGATTGTAAAAAAAATTAAGTATCTAATGATGATTATGTACCATTTTTTCATACCTTTTCAGTTTATTCTATCTTAACTAATGTTTATATTATAGTTCACAAGAGACAGGAGGCAGTGAAGGAGTGTACTTATTTTCCCAGTGGGTGACTATATGTATATTAGTTTGTTTGGATGGTGACATTAAATGACAATTTGAAAATCTGGTAAAATTTTTGGATGGGTTTTCTCTTTGAATAAGAAGACTAAGGAAGGAGCATATCAAAAATCTTAGGTCTATCGCGATGGGCCTCAAATATGGCCGACTTAAATTCCGGTTTATCAGTGCCGTTCTAATTTTATTTAAAAAATGTAAAACTATGATGTAGGGTAGACGTGAGGTAGACTCAATAATATGTTGTTTTATTTGACGTTGTGAATAAATGTTGGTAGTTATTAAAATTGTTACAAAAATATATAATTCTAATAAAAATAAATAATTTATAATAATTATTTATTAACACAAACATCCGCTACGCTACCGAAGCAGGTAAATCTGGTAAATCAAATTGACGTATCTAAATTCTTTGACATCTAATCTTTGACAAGTAGTAAATAAAAGCAAAAATGCAAGAAAAAATATATAATTAGTTAATTTAAGTGAATTTCATAAATGATCGGTTTACTACACGTATGTATATTATATAGTTACTTACTAGCGAAAAGTTGTTCCATTATTTCACTCGATTTTTGCCGAGATCTACCGCACGCTACACAACCAACTATTTTAGAGTCTTTTTCGATAAATCGCGATAGTGTCACTGTTAATTTAAGTTCTGCCACAATTTCCATCTAGATTTACTACCTTTATACAACTATCAGTAGTAGAATAAATAATAAATAACATAAAATAAGCTCCGTAAAGACTGACAAATCCATAAAATTTGAAATCAATTTCAAATGTGTCAAATGAATCGTCAAACAGAACTGTCAAGGATTCTCACCCTAGAGTGCTTTTTTCCGCCCACCGTCCTTAGTCTTCTTATTCAAAGGGTTTTCTAAATAAAATAAAAAAGTGCACTTATTTTTCCTGTCATAAATGTTTGACATCTATTAAAATGAATCATTTTCTTAATAGAAATAACAGTCTGGCACATCCCAAGCGGTGGAAAGTCAGTCTGGCTGAAAATTTGCATGCAAAAATTTGACAGATTTTTGAAATCCATCTCTTGCTTGAAATTTAACGTATAATTTGATACTTCATAAACTATAATCAAAATCAAGTCTGGCTTTTTACGAAATTGGCAAATGAGTCTGGTGGCCTCTTGAAAATTGCAAAAATTACAAAATTTTTGCTCTTATTTTCCCGGATTTGAAAATTTGTCACATGATAAATAATACTGTTGCGGACCCGTGTGGACTCGACCTAACCTAACTATATGTCCCGCCCTCAGATGACCTTAATATCGCATTAAAGAATAGACACCGTAATGATTCATTCGTTCGAGAAGAATCGAGTTCCACTGGAATGGAGTAGTACATACGAGAACATTCGAAACCTTCTCTATGCACCTAACGATCTATGGACTATTCTAGAGATCTTTAGCTGTCGGTATAAAAGCCGGCGGCTGTGGCCTAAAGAGGGCAGTTATAAATAGACGAGTGCAGTTGACGCGCTAAAATTCAAAATACCGACGTAGCCCGCCTCGTTCGCCTTGCGTACCCTGCTACACCCGAGAATGTTATGGAGCGATTGGCAGTACAGGCATTCTCCGATGGCTTACGTGACAGCGAGACAAGGCAAGCGCTTCTTCTAGCCTACCCAACGCACTTGGTGGATGCTTTGGCACGTGCCCTAGAATTTGAGGCCGCGAAACAAAGTTCTCGGTCTCTAGTGAGAATACGGGCGGTCAACCAATGTTCCAACAAATCCGTGGAAAGCATTGTACGGAAACTCATGGAGGAGTACATGGGCAAGAAAGGACCGAGCAGGACACGTAAGAAGTCACTGTAAAGAAAAAGACGTGGACCTGGTTTCGCCAAGTGTCGAATCAAAGGGACACATATGGGAGCAGTACCCAACAGGTTCCAACGAAAACTGCTCAAGTCGCATCACTACAACACAAGCTCAACAGCATTTTTGTGGATGGTTTCGTGGATGGAGAGTTACGGACCATGCTGTTGGATACGGGCGCGACCAAAACGATCATCAGGCCGTTGTTAAGAACAGACCGTGCTGCTTTGAAATGGCTGTTGCAGTTTAAGAATCCTGAAGGGCAGGTAGCTAGATGGATTGAACGATTACAAGAATTTGACTTCGACACAGAACATCGAGCTGGGGCAATCCATCGGAATGCCGACGCACTTTCCAGAAGACCTTGCGCTAAGGACTGTAAGCTTTGTTCCCGAGCAGAGGTTTTGAACTAAACCTAAGAACAACTGTGGTTAATGATAGTTGGCAACCCGAAGATCTTGCAAATTACATCAAACCAGTGACCCAGAATTAGGTTTAGTAATTAACTGGAAAACGCAGGCCAAAGACCAACGCTGGGAAGAAGTTTGCAGATGGTTCGCCTGGAAGGTAAAATGAATACTGGGAGTATTATTCTGTTGATAATAGATAACGGACTACTTCGAAATGTGATCGAGGAGTCCTGGAGGGACTGCTAAGAAGAAGAAGGCAGTATCGTCATTCAAAGTAAGGGTCCCGAAGAAGTCTTCTGAAGTTCACAATGGAACCAGCGGTGGACATCTTGGTGTTACCAAGACCTTGGCATTCGAAGCTCCGTGAACGGTTCTACTGGGTGAACTGCAAAGAAGATGTGAGGGGCCTGGTGTAAGATGACATTTGCGCAGCCATCGATAGCCACAAAAGCGTGGTAAAGCCCCTGATGCGCCAAGTACAATGTTGGCAGTAAAGGAGACGAAGGCGATCGACGTGGCTGG